ATTGTGTGGGAGTCTAAGTCTCTTTGTAAGTCATTAAGAACTTGCTTTATGTATCTGGGTGCTCCTGCATTGGGTGCATATATATTTAGGATGTTACCTCTTCTTGTTGCATTGATCCTTTTACCATTATGTAATGTCCTTCTTTGTCTCTTTTGTTCTTTGTTGGTTTAAAGTCTATTTTATCAGAGACTAGGATTACAACTGCTGCTTTTTTTTTGCTCTCCATTTGCTTGGTAAATCTTCCTCCATCCCTTTATTTTGAGCCTATGTGTATCCTTGCATGTGAGATGGGTTTCCTGGATACAGTACACTGATGGGGTTTGACTTTTTAACCAATTTGCCAGTCTGTGTCTTTTGATTGGGGCATTTAGCCCATTTACATTTAAGGTTAATATTGTTATGTGTGAATTTGATCCTGCCATTTCGATGCTAGCTGGTTGTTTTGCCCATTAGTTGATGCAGTTTCTTCATTGTGCTGATGCTCTTTAACATTTGGTATGTTTTTGGAGTGGCTGGTACTGGTTGTTCCCTTCTGTTTAGTGCTTCTTTCCAGAGCTCTTGTAAAGTAGGCCTGGTGGTGATGAAATCTCTGAGCAATTGCTTGTCTGTAAAGGATTTTATTTCTCCTTTGCTTATGAAAGTTAGTTTGGCTGGATATGAAACTCTAGGTTGAAAGTTGTTTTCTTTAAGGATGTTGAATATTGGTCCCCACTGTCTTCTGGCTTGTAGGGTTTCTGCTGAGAGGCCCGCTGTGAGTCTGATGGGCTTCCCTTTGTGGGTAACCTGACCTTTCTCTCTGGCTGTCCTTAGCATTTTTGCCTCATTTCAACCCTGGTGAATCTGATAATTATGTGCCTTGGGGTTGCTCTTCTTGAGGAATATCTTTGTGTTGTTCTCTGTATTTCCTGGACTTGAATGGTGGCCTGCCTTGCTAGGTTGGGGAAGCTCTCCTGGACAATATCCTGAAGTGTATTTTCCAGCTTGGATTCATTCTCTCCATCGCATTCAGGTACACCTATCAAATATAGATTAGGTCTTTTCACATAGTCCCATATTTCTTGGAGGCTTTGTTTGTTTCTTTTTATTCTTTTTTCTCTAATCTTCCCTTCTCATTTTATTTCATTGAGTTGATCTTCAATCTCTGATATCCTTTCTTTTGCTTAGTCAATTCGGCTATTGAAACTTGTGTATGCTTTGTAAAGTTCTCGTGATGTGTTTCTCAGCTCCATCAATTCATTTATATTCCTCTCTAAGCTGTTTATTCTTGCTAGCATTTCGTCAAACCTTTTTTCAAGGTTCTTAGTTTCTTTGCATTGGGTTAGAACATGCTCTTTAGCTCAGAGAAGTTTCTTATTACCCACCTTCTGAAGCCTGTTTCTGTCAATTCATTAGACTCATTCTCCATCCAGTCTTGTTTCCTTGCTGGTGAGGAGTTGTGATCCCTTGCAGGAGGAGAGGTGTTCTGGTTTTGGGTGTTTTCATCCTTTTTACGCTGGTTTCTTCCCATCTTTGTGGATTTATCTCCTTGTGGTCTTTGTAGTTGGTGACTTTCAGATGTGGTCTCTGAGTGGACGTCCTCTTTGTTGTTCATGATGAAGTTATTTCTTTCTGTTTCTTAGTTTTCCTTCTAACAGTCAGGCCCCTCTGCTATAGGACTGCTGGAGGTCCACTCCAGATCCTGCTTGCCTGGGGATTACATGCAGTGGCTGCAGAACAGTAAAGGTTGTTGGCAGTTTCTTCTTCTGCTATCTTTGTCCCAGAAGGATACCCGCCAGATGTCAGCCTGAGCTCTCCTTTACGAGGTGACTCTTTGGATATACGAGGGTCAGGGAGCTGCTTCAGGTGACAGTCTGTCCTTTATAGGAGGTCAAGTGCTGAGCTGTGAGTTCAATTTTTCTGTTCAGAGCAGCTGGGCAGGTATGTTTAAGTCTGCTGCAGCAGAGCTCATAACCGCCTTTTTTTCCCAGGTGCTCTGTCCTGGGAAGGTGGGGCTTTATTTATAAGTTTCTGTCATGTTGCTGCCTTTTTTCAGAGATGCCCTGCCCAGCAAGGAGGTAGCCTAGTCACAGTCTGCTAGCAGAGGTGTTGCTGAGCTGCTGTGGTCTCTGCGCAGCTGCTGTGTGAACTTCCTTGCAGTTTTTTTTTTTATAGGGGTATAGTTAGAACTGCCTCTGTAATGGCGGTCTGCTTCTGTAATGGCGGACTGCCTTGGTAATGATGGACTGCCTTGGTAATGATGGACTGCCTTGGTAGTGGTGGACTGCCTCGGTAATGGCAGATGCCCTTCCCCCACAGAGCTTGACTGTCCCAGGTCCAGCTGTGCTTGCTGTGAAACTCTCAATCCAGAGCGTTTCAGATTGCTAGTCTTTGTGAGGGTGGGACCGGCGGAGTCAGATCACCTGGCTCCTTGTTTCAGTCCCCTTTTTTTTCAGTTGCATGGGTGACTCTGTCTCCTAGGCATTCCAGTCACCAGTTGAAAAGGCGCCCGTATTTGTGTGAGTTTTTGTGTGGACACCCACTGTGCTGGCTGAAACAGCTGTGCTGGGGGCTCGTGGTGCTTTTCTGCCTGGGAATCTCCTGGCCTGGCTCCCTGTTTCAGTTCTCTTTTTTTTCAGTTGAATGGGTGACTCTGTCTCCCAGGTGTTCCAGTCGCCAGTTGAAAAGGCGCCCGTATTTGTGTGAGTTTTTGTGTGGAGACCCGCTGTGCTGGCTGAAACAGCCGGGCTGGGGGCTCATGGTGCTTTTCTGCTGGGAATCTCCTGGTCTGTGGGCAGTAAAAATTTGTTTGTAAATGTGGTAATCAGTCACCCTCTGCGTTTTCACTGGGAACTGCAATCCAGAGCTGTTCCTATTCGGCCTTCTTGGATTGTCTCCCTCCATTTTAATTAAATTTAAAAAACAATTCAGTATTTCAGAACAATTAAAATCTTAATGTTGTAGTGCACCATGACAGGCTTTACCTAAAACAGTGCTTTTAAATGTATAATGTAAACATGCCCTTTTTTATGTTTCACTTTCTTTCTTTGACTTATTGCTTAGAAAACCAACAAAATGAGCCACATAAAACTGGTTTAGTGTTTGCGATACCCCAAATCAGATACATCCACAAAATATTAAGAAGGAGCAGTGACATCAGCATCCTTTTGAAGCTATTGCTAACTTGGAGTGGGTAATGAAGGCAAAGAAGGATTTTATAGTTCATAAAAATCTACTTTTAAACAGGCAACTTCTAAGCTTAAAAAGATCCCAATTAGCATGTAACATGAATGTTTACATTGTGTGAATTCTTGGAGTTGGCTAGATTCTAGTAGGTCCATCTCATAAGATAGTATATGCTCATGTATACCAATTAATTTCAGTTTGGTCATGATGAAAATCCTTCATATTTATCCCAAGGGCATTGATTTTAACATATGTTAAAATGGATAGTAAGTACTAGAAAAGTGGAAATATAAAATAATTAAAACACAAAATGGAGTATCACACCTCTCCCTCTCCATGTACATGAGAACAAGGAGAAAAAACTATTTAAATTTAGCCTGGTGTGAAATTTCAAGAATGACAAGTTATATGAATTTAGAGAAGATTTTGGAAACTATATTAAAGGCTCAGTTCCCTTATTAGTAATAAAAGATTTAATCAAGTTTCTCAACACTTTCTTTGCCATTTCCTTGTATTCATATCTTTGGTTTGAAAAAAAAAAAAAACATGCTTGTACTCCCAAGTGTCAAAGAAGAAGATTATTTATAAAAGGACATTAAGTGTTCATTTAGTATGTTCAAGCAAATTTATGCAGCTACATAATTTTGTGCTTAAAAATGCCTACGTACAATTGTTTTAGAGATACACAAAGAAAGGTAAATGTAGTTAGAACCCAAAGTATATAAAAGAAATATGTATTAATTGTAAACATTTACATAGCACTTATAACTTAGTAGGCACTGTTCTAAGTTCTTTATGTATGCTTATTTACTCCTTATAAAAGTCTTACTGATAGGGGTCATTATTATTTTCACTTTATAAAAGGGTCAATACCTCAGCATAGAGAGGTTAAGTTTCTTGCCCAAGGTCTCACAGCTAATCAGTGTAGAGCTGAAATTGAGATGGTTATTATCCCCACCCACCTCTTACATAGATTGGACAGTATCAGGAATGAAGAGGTCAAGTTATTTGTCCAAGACTGTACAGCTAGTAAGTGGTAGAGCTGGGATTTAGAGAATCTGGTTGCAAAGTCCATGGTCCTGATCATGATGCTATGCTGCCTCTCTCTAACTGTAGGCAGGTTATATTTATAATATGTACTGGCTAGTAAACTTATAGAAAGGGGGAAAATTTTGAATCTTAAACTTAATTTCTATAATTCTAGAAAAGGAAGATGGGAAAGGAAAGAGAAAGGAAGAAAGCATAAAATTCATAAAAGCCAAAGTATAAACATGAAGCAGAATGTGGCAGGTGATGAGAAAAGAAAAAAAAAATACACATAGGTTTTCACCGAGCCACTAAGTAACCACTGAGCCATCTGATTTGTTGGCTGTATGGTTCTATCAGGTCAAAGATGAAAAATGACAAAAGGAAATACTAATTTTTCTTAGGCTTGAATTATTGAGATGAATATTCTGTGTCAAAATACTCAGTACTTGGAAAAAGTCAGCTTTTTTGGTAGACATCTCTTTTCCCCCCATCTGGGAGTAAATTTTAAGACATATTATTGAAATTAACTTAAAAAAAATCCCATTTTTTGGTAGTAGATTTTTTGGGTCTGTATATGGTCTCTACCATCTTTTTAGTAAACTTGACAAAAATATTTAATGAGTTTATTTTGACTTTTTAAATGATGTTCTTTAAAATTATATATGGCTGCATGGAGCTATATAGCTGGTCCTATTTTATTTTAAATTGATTGAGCTAGAAACTTCAGTGACATTATTCTCTAAGCATTACCGTAGAAAATTTAGAATTCTAGGCCTCACTGACCTTCTACATACTCTGAAATACTTTACCTGTTCATATCATCAAGATGTTCAGCAGCAAAATAAAAGCTTTTGATTTTAGGATGACAGGCTTTGAATGCACTGCAAAAGGAAACAAAGTACATTTATTACAGATTGGGAACTAAGTTTGAACCAAATAATTTTGATGTGCAAAATTACCGCAACATCTAACCCGAGTTCACATATATAATAATGCTTCTATCATCATGACAGAAATCAGTAAAAAGTTCAATTTTCTGTCCACAAAACTACTTTCTTATTACCTCAATGTGAAAGCATAAAATGAACAACCTATAATTTAAAATCTGGAAATAAAAAAAAAAACCTTATCTTTTCCTCTTCCCAAATAAAATCAACTTACTATTTTTTGCGGCATTCACTGGCTCTATCAATTTTAAATTCGGGCAGACTGATGAATCCTTCTGCTTTTTCATCCTAAAGAGGGAACATTCTTGATTAGGTTATTATATACAAAGGTATGAAAGTAATGATACTCTATGGCTTAGATATCTGTACTAATAAATATGTTCCTTTAATTCCTTAAATTTGACATTTTAGAGATCAGAAGTCCATGCTTACGTACTGTATTCCATAATTGAAGATATATTTTCAACACTTAGAATACTACTAAAATATGTATAGAACTTTTAAAAAGTGTTTTTCATATTAAAGTGAGAACAGAAAATTCTTTAATTCTCAAAGTGGAATGTGTTTTATAACTAATTTTCTGGTCAGAATATATATACACTTCTATAATCTATAAAATAAATGTAGTCCACTTTTGTAATTCACAATTTTCTATTTTTCTTAATGTTCAGATGTAAAATATAGCAACGTTTACTGATTCAATTTCCCTCCAACAAATCTCTTATCAAACCTGATTTTCTCTTATCATACAACAATTATCTTTTATTTAATTATTTTTAACTTCCATTTTAGGTTAAAGGTACATGTGAAGGTTTGTTATACAGGTAAATGTGTGTCACAGGGGTGTGTTGTACAGATTATTTCATCACCAAGGTACTAATCCTAGTACCCAACAGTTATTTTTTTTCTGCTCCTTTCCCTCCTCCCACCAACCCCTCTCAAGCAGACCCCAGTGTCTGTTGTTCCTTTCTTTGTGTACATGAGTTCTCATCATTCAGCTCTCACATATAAGTGAGAACATGAGGTATTTGGTTTTCTGTTCCTGCGTTTATTTGCAAAGGATAATAGCTTCCAGCTCCATCCACGTTCCTGCAAAAGACATAATCTCATTCTTTTATATCTGCATAGTATTCCATGGTGTATATGTACCACAATTTCTTTATCCAATCTGTCACTGATAAGCATTTAGGTCAATTCATGCCTTTGCTATCACGAATAGTGCTGCAATGAACATTCAGGTGTTTGTGTCTTTATGGTAGAAAGATTTATATTCCTCTGGGTATATACCCAGTAATGGGACTGCTAGATTGAATAGTAGTTCTGCTTTTAGCTCTTTGAGGAATCACTACACTGCTTTCCACAATGGCTGAACTAATTTTACTCCCACCAACAGTGTATGAGTGTTCCTGTTTTCTCTGCAAGCTCGTCAGCATCTTATAACAATTATTTTGTGTATTCAAGAGTTTACAAATGAAATAGGTCAATTTGATTTTCAAATATCTGGCTTGGGGTATGTGCTATATATATAAAGGTCATTTTTCACCTGAAAAATCGAATGAAATCTATAAAACATTCCTCTCTCTGATGCTGGATGGAAAAACAAGATAGAAGAATTATCCAGAATATTATGTTAGATACAAGTTATCCCAACTAAGCTAAAACTATCTTTTGCTAAATAGTTTATCATTGTATCCCTTCTCCTGCTCATGATCAAGCTCCTCAGAGTTTTACTATCTCTAACCTTTATTTGATCTGTGCTATACCCATAGCTCCTTACATATCAAGTTCAAGTGAGATTACATTCCCATCCACTATCACAGAGAAAAAAAAAAAAAAGAGATTCAATTCTTTTAGAGTGTATGTTCGCTTTCATTGCTAAGCTTCTAAGCAAAATAAAAATCTGACGCTACTGATAGTGACTGAATGTGTGTTATGAAAAAGAGCAGTATTAAACTTTTTCAATATTTGAAAATTTTTTCTTCCAATCTTAAGGACAATATTTTTAAATCCTTTTCCCAACTTTAATTTCTATGTTACATTATGCTTGACATCCATAATGTAAACATTTAAAAATTTGAACAATTTAAAATATTTTGAGGTAGTTACTATCTCCCCATAATGATGTAATGAGGGATTTTTATATTTCTCCTAAAAATATAATCACATTAAAGGTACTTCTTGCAATGTGTACTGTAGAATTCCTCATTCATCTCTCACAAGGCTAACAGTAACAATAAGTTGCTGATTGAAACTTAGTTCAACAAAAAGGGGCCATAGTTTTTCATCATTTAAACTCTGAAAGATAGAATATAATCTAGTATATGGCAGACAAATCCGCAAGCGACCTTACAATAAAGAGAAACATAGGATACTATATGTTGCTAATACTTGATTGGCATATAAAAAGGATTTAATATATATCTGTTAAATGAAAATGTAGGTAAAATTATGGTTTGTTTTCTACATCTAAAATAAGACACTCAGCAAAGCAGAGTATATTTTAGGTAATTGTGTGATTTGCCACAAAAAATGTCAACAGTACAAAAAACAACCAACTATTTTGATATAGGTGACAAAGACATTTACATTAAATAGAAAAATATTAACTCAAGATTTTACAAATAAAATGAGAGGTTCCTTTGAAAAATGTTACTAATAGCACACATATTTTTTTGAGACAGGGTCTTGCTCTGTTGCCCAGGCTAGAGTGCAGTGATGCAATCACAGCTCACTGCAGCCTCAACCTCCCTGGCTCAAGCAATCCTCCTGTCTCAGCCTCTCAAGTAGCTGGGACTACAGGTGTGCACCACAACCCTTGGCTAATTTTTAAATTTTCTGGAGAGACAGGGTCTCATTATGTTACCCAGGCTGGTCTCAAGATCCTGAGCTCAAATGATCCTTCTGCCTCAACCTTCCAAAATGCTGGTATTATAGGTATGAGCCACTGGGCCTGGCCTACCATATGTTTATTGAACACTTAGTATGTGTCAGGCATCGATTCACTTCATCCATTCGATAGCCCAGTAATAAGCATTATTATTGCTCCCATTTTGCAGATGAAGAAACTAAGGCACAGCAACTCAGGTGGTGTGATTTCTAAGTCTACTCTTAAACATAACAACATTACATTATACACCTGTCTAGGGAACATTAAATTATCTAGATATTATATGTTATAATCACAGGCATAATAATGTTGTTAAGTTATATTTCAACAATACTCAACTACAAATTGATGAATGTCTTAACATAATAGTATTGAACTATTCACCCAGCATACTACATTAAACCAGGTACATTTTAAATAAAATAACAGCAGAAATCATTGTTTTAAAAAACTAATAAACTAGTAGGTGGCTATAGCAAAGGATTAAAGGCAGATGCAGAGTAAAGGGAATATCAACAAATGCTTTGGCATATCTGTCAAGATATGTGATAAGTTTTGACATGACTACTCTGGATATATAAATCTGTTATACTAAAACCCCCCAGAAAATCATAAGAATAATTTAAGTGTACTGTATCTCTATATCTATATACCCCCATTGGGCCAAGTGAAATGAATACTTGCAGATTTTCAAAACTAGTCTACCAGATCATTTTTAAAGAAAAATGGAAATAAATTTAGGACATTAATTTACTTAAATTAATAAAGAGTTTCTCCTCTTCCCCTTAAAAAAAAAAACAGAAAAATGTGTAAAACTTTGAACAAAAGGAAGGCATTAAAATTTGTTAAATATCTACATATAATCCTTTCAGTTAAGCTACTGCTTAGATTAGCTTAACATTTTTATTTAGATATACAGAATTTTACTACACTTTATCTGTGTTTCAGATATGTTGCTACATTAAAATAATTGAGACATCTATCTTTCTAGAACCCCAACATGCAATCATTTTAAGAGAGTGGATTGAAAAATAACTAGCCTAAGTCTACTGAATTGGTCTTAAGGTGATCATATGATTTAAAACACAAGTCTCAAAATGGTGGTTCTTTTGATTAAAGATAGAGAATGGATGAGACAACAAAATGTGCTTTACCTTACCTCCTCATTAATATACCAATACAGGGATGCATCCTTTAGGACAAACCAATATTTCTTCCATTTCTGTGAAAAATAACTCTTCGCATCTTTCTTTTTCCAAAGCCACCCTTCACAATCACCACGACCAAGATCTTTGCAAGAAATTCGTCTTTTGCTCTTGCCTGCTATAGGACCTAAAGGGTGGAAATGCTCTTTCAATTTTGTAAAAGGTACGAAAGTAAAGGATTAGTCTACAGATACCAAAAAGAAGTATGAGTAATTCACAATCTTAAAAATTATTTTTATATTGTATTAGACTAGAAAAATAGAAAAATCTTTAATATTTTTCCCTCACATAAATGACACGTATCTTAATCAGAAGTACGTAACCCCAGTCTCAAAACTTACTGAGTTATTTTTTTTGTAAAAGGTACCTTGTATTATAATGGAACTGAAGAAGCTGGCAGCTTTTGCACTAGGGGATTGTGCTCTTCTAATCCACACTGGGCTCAGGAAAGAGGGCATGGATAAAGTGTGCTGGTGATTATCAAAGAGCAAAATTAGCAGGTAAAAGGTTTCATTCCTTTTCTTACCTTTGTTTTTCTTCTTTGATTTGTGCTGCAGTGAGGACTGCTGAAATGTCTGAAATCAAAGATAAAAAGAATGTTACTATCTGTTACTCAGGGTGTGATCCAGAGGACCGGCATGCTACACGGAACTCTCAAGAGCCAAATGATGACTCTAAACCCTGTTAGAGGAAGTACTTTCCCCCCTAAACCCTCGAAACAAATTCATATACATCATGTCACTTAACTTTCTAATCTCCTGTGAAGCAGGAAAGGATATTATCTTTACCCGTATTTTGTAGGCAGAGAAATCAGGGCACAAAGTATTTGGTAAAACTAAAGGCTTTTACATACACACTACTGTGTACCTTTTTTAGGGGTATATTGTACTTTGTCAGACAATATCTCATTTGATTCTCCCAAAATCTATTGAAGTAAGCAGGCAAATACGACTTGTTCACATGAAGTTCGTTTTATTACATGAGCCACCATCACTTACTGATCTCCTACTTCCTTAGTCCCTAAATATTTCAGTACTTAGAACAATATTTTCTTCTCATGCCTACTCCTGTCACTATTATTGGTGACTAATCTTTATGTAGACGATGTCAGTATCCTGGTTCCTCAGTTCCAATGGCCTTTACCTCCCAACTCCTCAGCTACTCACCCCCATGATCATATGTTTAATATCTTAAGCACACACCAGCCACTGTATCTAATATACATGGCTTACATAGTCTAATAACCTCATGTCATCACTTAAAAAAAAACTTTGAGGCATCCAGTTCATTGACCTTACTACCGTCTTGTGCCTGTATTTCTTTCTTTCCTCTTAGTTTCCATGGGATACCATCATAACCATTCCGTTGACCATGCTCTCTGCATCATACTTGCTGAGCTAAACATCCATCGCAGTTAAACCTAACTGTCTGTTCACACCATGCTAAGTACCTGGACAGCTTGATATGTCTAGAGGAAAACCCACAACTATACTGATCAGTCTAACTTTCAATTAATGGCTATACATCATCACTGGCTCCAGTTAGTCTACTAAGCCAGACTGTTCACTGGTATAACAAGATTAATTACATTCATATGATTAGCTAGCTAAGAGTGAACAAAGATAGCATGTGTGCTTTTAATTCACAGATATTCCTTCAAAATGAAATTCAGGTTAGAGATTCTTCTTTTTCTTTATGGAGATATATCTATAAGAGGCAACTGGATTTTTTAATTTAAAATTTGCTTTTTTTTTAACAATAAATTCGTGTTTTGTGATACTTTATTATTTAATATCATCGCTAATTAAATAACATTCTACTTAGATAATTTTCATTCTGTATATTATTTATACAAGTCTAATGAACATAATATTATAGATGAGTATCAGTCCTAAAGATAAGGGTCAGATAATTTACTAACATACAAAGTTTTCCAGAAATAATCACCCAAGTGTTAAACCAATATAAATATGTATGTATGTGGTATATGTGTATGTGTTTATGTATGTGTATACATACACACATATATATAAAACTTTGCAGCACCCATGGTTACAGAAATTCACCATCAAATTTTGAGAGAAAGCATAAAAGACAAAACCCATTATGCTGTGTTGATTTTCTTCAATGCACTTTACTTCAAAATAATAACTCAAATAATAATTCAGGCTAGTGTGCTTAAGTATAGTTAATTTACAGATAGTTATTTTCCCTAAATTGTTTCATGGCAAAATTATGGATTGGGTTTTTTTTTTCTTTTGTATTTCTGCAAGTAATCATTATAGTTTTACAGCTCATTATTTTGAAAAATGACAAAGATGGAGGTGGTTTGTTTTTAGAAAGCTACATAGATAACAGACAGCTTGAAATAATTGGGATATATAATGTACCTCCTATGCTTTTTGTATGCTATTCCTTAGAACCTGAACATTTACTCTAAAAATCTACACCAAACATATTTTATACTCTTCAGGTTTTCTTTTTAACAAGATTATCTTTTCTTTTCCTATAAATATATTTACATAAAGATCATGATTGCAGATATAATCAGTCTACTGAAAACCTGAGAACTCCTAGACATTAAATACAGATTTATCCATCATTCAAAGAAGCAAAGCCTTAGATGTCTTTTGTAAATATTATAAATATTAAAATAAAGTTCTCTTCAGAGAGATTTTATTATTTTTCCAAGTGACTTGGCATTTTTTAAAATGAAAAAGTTAACTGCATTATATGCTTTTGGAAGTAATTGGAAAATCTATTAAAACTATACAGTTAGGTCTTTGTGCAGAAAAGAGCTAACACAGCAGGCCTGAGGTTGCCGTCTTAGAAAGGCCTACTTGCAGTATTTGCCTTTGGTTGGCATCTAGGAACTTGGCTGGTAAACAATTCCCTATACTGATAAGAAGCTTCCCTAAATGATAAGATTCATTTGCCCACATGGGGCACTAAATATCCACTTGCCTTCTGGGAGTCTGGAATTTTGGTATTTGCTAGGCAGAGGATGTCTAAATGCCCAATTCAATATCCTTGGGTACTGAGACTCTAATGGATATCCCTGGACAGAAACACAGCACACATGTGATTGCATTTTAGCTACTGGGAGGAGAGTATGCTCTGTGTGACCTATCTTGGGAGGTAGAGAGCACAGGAAACCTACAGACAGCTTTCTCCAGATTCCATAGGTGTCTTTTTTCCTTACTGATCTGTCTGTATGTTCCTGCTGTTTCACTGTAATAAATCTTAGCTGTGAGTTCAACTGTATGTTGAGTCCTATGAGTTCTTCTAGCAAATCACTGAACACGTGGGTGGTCTTGGGGACCTCCAAAACAGCCTCACATTCAAAAAGATCCCTTACAAACTTATATTAGTAACTGTTCATTATTCATAAATAATGGACATAAATAATCTCCTGAAAATGTTTTCCCTATGTCGTCAGCTACAGTGTTATTAAGCACCTCTGAGGTGCAAATTTATCCTCCTGTACTGTCTTTTCTAGAACTCATGGAATTATTATCAGTGACAGAAATTTAATTGGTACATTTTTTTCCAGTTTTTAAGATGATGCAAATTTAATAAGAGCAAGACATTAAAAATAGACACATGACTGTAATTCATAACACAACTGATTATGTAAGGTACTACAACAACTAAAAATGAAAGAGGCCTAGAATCCTTGCATTCAGGATAAGTGTATTTCTCATGAGGTATTCATAACATATCTAATTTATGTATCTTTCATAATAGCTTCAGATCACCCCTCTTCCAAGTTTATGCTCAAGTAGGTATATTCTTTAGAAGTTCTTTCATAGCAGTCTGTGAGTGGCAAACTCTTCCAGTTTTAGTGTTTGAAAATCCTTCCTTTTGAATAATAGCTTGGCTGGGTATAGAATTCTGAGTTGAAAATAACTTCCCTCAGCAACTTGAATATACTACTTTATTTTCTTTGAGCATCTATTTTTTTCTCTTAAGCCATCTGTAGCCACACAGTCATTTGCTTGTTGTAATCTGTCTTTATTCTCTCTGTAGCTTTTAAAACATTTTTCTCTTTATCCCTAATATTCTGCAGTTCCACTACTATGTGTCTCAGTTATCATTTATCTAATTCAATCATATTTGGCATTTTTTGTGAGTCGATTTTTATTGAAAGTATTATTTAATTCTGAAAATCTCTTCAAATGGTCTTCTTTACTAGCCCCTTTTTAAACTCTAGACATATGTTGGTACCTCTCAATTTACCTTCCATGTGTCTTTCATATTTTGTATCCTTTCATATTTCTGCAATGCCTTTTAGGGGAATTCATTTTACTGTCTTCCAATTTCTTAATTCTTTCTCTGATTGTATCTAATCTAAAGTTTATCTTATCTGTAGAGAGTTTATTGCATGTATTTTACATTTTCAGGATATCTAATTGGTAGTGGCTCTTTTGAATAACTATTGTTTTAAACTTCCTGTTTTTTTTCCCAAAATTTATTTTAAGGGCTTTTGTGACTTTCTTGTAATTTGCATTTAGCAAGAAAAGAACCACTTCATTGTTTAGTTTATTGCCATTTTTAAAAAGTATTAATTTTCTTTAGATGCTTTGGAATTTTATTTTGAGTGGAAGATTCTTCTTGGAGGGATATTTCTTTTTGCACTCATCCCTTTTGTCTAAGTGTTTGGCTGTCTCTGCCTCCATTCCTTGGGACACTAACCAGGCCTTTTAGTGGTGGCAATGGGTTGCAGTCCCATCCTTGAAATCCAAGTGGGAGAGGCTCTGCTTGCCTTTCCAGTTGGTTACACCTGGTGAGTCAATTTTTAGATACCTGACATAGCTGAGATCCACTGGTTCTCTGATTCTCATTAGAGAAGACTCTCAGGCATCTCTACCTTTTTCTGGACTCAGTGCCTAAGATATGTGGCTTTAGTTCCCAATTATCACTGAGCATTTTTGTTCCTTCTGGTACCTGAAGGTTAGATTTGACCATGACCGTATGTTTTATTTCATTTTATTGCTGTGTGTTTAGGGTAGGGTGAGTACAAGGGTATATGTGAATTTAAAGCACAAGCTTGTAATGCTTATTCATTACCAGAAATGGATTTCTCTTGTTAGCATTTCTGAAGTCCAATTCTCTAAAAAACCCTAACTTCATTATTTTCTAAACCATCATTTATTAAAATCTTTCTAATGCCTCACTAGCACTTTCTGTTTATTATAGTGAGCAACTGGATGAAAGTTATTTGAACTTTCTAAGAATGTTCTATAAATTCTGATCTTTAGCAACTTAAGAATTCATATCACTAGTCAGGACTTCTTGACTGAGCTAAAGCCTGCCTAACTGAGCAGATCTAATATGTACAAAATTGAGCTCATGATGCCTATCACCCATTGGCCAAATCTGCTCCTTTCCTACTCATGTATACCTTATTGAATAGTAATTACATTTTTTCCCCTCCCTAGTGGCTCAGGTACAAAATCTTGGAGTCAACTTTAACTCTTTTCTTTCTCTTATACCCCATAGTGAATCCATCAGCAGGTTTTGTCAGCTTTATCTTCCAATGTATTTATAATATGACTTTTTCTCACTAGCTCTA